TTTTTGCGCTCGAGCGAGCCTTGGGTATTTATCTCCTCGCTCGAGCGAAATTTCTTACACTCAAGCGAGCCTTGTCTGGTGTGTCTCTTCGCTCGAGCGAGAAACCTTGCGCTCGAGCGTGCGTCTGCGTCTTTTTAGACCTGAAGAGTGGCATTCTTCGCTCGAGCGAGCTCTGTATTCCTTCGCTCGAGAAAGCATTCTTGCGCTCGAGCGTGCGTCTGCATTAGTGGGTTGTAGACCTAAAGTCTCGCTTTGTCCACTCGAGCGAAGCTTCTTGCGCTCGAGTGAGGTTCTTTCGTTGTGTCTGGTCGTTGTGTCTGGTCGCTCGAGCGACAACTCCTTCACTCGAGCGAGCCTCGCGTACATCAGATCTCTACAGTGGGAAGTTTATTACTTTTTCATTTCCTTCCTCCCCCAAAACCCTAGATCCGACTCTCTCTCTCTACCACTCCTTCTCTTTACAAATACTTCATTTCTAGGGCTTTTCTACCCATTTCTCTTTATTAAAAAGCTAGAGCTTTAAGTGGGCTTTTTTTTTATCTAAGAAAATACGAGTTTGGGGTATCTTGGGGTTTCTCTCATCTTTCCTTTTGAGCTTCTACTTTGAGGTAGGGATTTCTTGAGTTACATATACTAGTTATGTATTGTTGTTGTTGATTTAAAAGTTTCCTTGAAGGATTAGTGTTGATTTTGATGTTTTGTGATTAAAATGTAGAGTTTTCGAAGGGGTTTAATCTCAAATTATTTTTGTTAATTCCTAGTGAGTTTGTTTAGTTATTTTGAAACTCAAAAGGGATGGTTTAAGGGGGTTTCTTTAAGAGGGTAGGAAATGTTTGGTTTTTGATGAAAACCCTAGGAAAAATTGGGGATTTTTGGAAGGAACATGGGAAGGTTCTTGAAATTCTTTTCTATCTTTGAATTGAAGATGAATGGGTATAAATTTCATAATGTGTTTGCAAAATGGTAAACTTTTAATGTATTGAGGAGTAGAAAATTGTTTTGAAAGCTTTACGTGTAACTCTTGGTGAGACTATGTTGCTATAACTTATGAAATGAGGAAATTGTGGTATGAATGGATGATATGTGGTTGACTTGCGAAGGAAACAATGAAGAAAGAAATGGGAAAATTGTGAATGTGGCATTATTGTAAAGGCCTCGAACATGAAAAAATGTTATGAATTTTTGGGAATTATTGCATTGTATATTATTTCTTTCATTATTGTGCATTGTGGTTCTAAATTGAAGAGATTTACATTCATGAGAGAAATTGGTATTGTAATAAGAACTATGGAAGTGTGTAAGGGGTAAATACAGTGGTAGGTCTAGTTAGGGGGTGTAGATGAATTTTGTTACGTTGGTCTGAGTGTCCATGGTGAAAGACCAGAAAACCGCGCGGATATGTGTCGAGCCTTCCGGTTAATACCGGTAAAAATGACAGTTTGGTAGTACTCGTAGAGTCTACTTGCAAACACCAGCCTAGGGACTACCAGTGTGGTATTTACCGCCCCTATTGATTAAAATTGGAAGTTCTTTTGTTGAAATGAGATAAGATTACTAACTGTTATTGAAATAAAAATTTTTCTTTAAAGAAGCAAGTCATGGCATGAACATCTGCATTTTTTTGAGAATTGCATAACAGTATATACTTTGTTAGAATTCTCTACTGGGCTTTATGCTCACCCCTATGGGATTTGGTGCAGGTAAAGATGTGGTGATCTCGCCGAACTGAGGGCGTGGATATTCTGTGAAGAGTAAATAGCTCTCCTTTGTGTAAATTTTTGTAAAGCCAAAGGCTAATATGTATGGGTCCGAGAGACCATTTTTGTGTAACTGGGCTATTGCCTTGGAAGATGTAAGCCCTTAAGGGCATTTTGTTGCTTTGAGAATAAATGCTTCACATGCTATAGATTCATGTGATTTCTTATCATTGAATGTATATCTGCATGTGGAACTTTTGTAAAGACTCATTTATTAATTATGCAAAGATGAAAGAGTTGTTGTAATTCATGCGGGATTGCTAATTAGTGTGGGTAGTTCATGTTGAATTATTTCAGGGCATTACAACTTGGTATCAGAGCTACCGGGTTTGAATACTTGGGGCTCGCGGGAAGTGGTTGTCATGCCACAATGGGTTCATATCGCATGATTAGGAAGTATTTAGTTCATTTGTGGATTATGTGATCGCATGCTTATGTGACTATGTGGGTATGGGATTAGACTTTTGAGATGTTATTTGCGCCTATTAGATTCCTTGATGTCTTATTAGAAGGGCACCTGATCAATGTTCATTCTACTAAGAATTCTTGGTTTTTCGTTGGACGAATCTCATCACTAAAGGATAATTCGTATGTGCTTATGTGACTACGTGCTTATATGGAGTAAATTGGATTGCTTGTGTGCTAGAATGTATATAATGGTTATAGTTTGGCATTTGAGGCAAGTTACGAGCATATTTGGAATTATGTGCTAAGTTTGTTTCTTTTGCTTCTCAATTAGGATGTCTGAAAGGATCCGAACACGAGGTAGTAGGGGTGGAAGGCGTGGTAGGGGACATCGGGGTGTACGCGGAGTACTGGTTCATGAAGTACCGGTGCAAGAAGAAGATGTAGGCCAAGCTAACATGGCCGAACAAGTAGGGCAAGCAGAGGTGCTGGGGCAAGCCGGCCAAGCCGCAATGGGGGCTCTAGCCCGGGAGATGGCGGGGGCATTGAGGGAGTCCATGAACATTTTGAGGGCGGAGACCCAAGCAAGGGAGAATGTAGCAGAGACTACAGCTAGCTTCCTCACGAGGGAGTTTCTAAGGGCCAAGCCGAATGAATTCCATGGCGGCCCCGATCCAAAGAAGGCAGACGAATGGTTGGAACAAACCGTGAAGACTTTTGAGATGCTCCATATAGAGGATGGCGAGTTGAGAGTGACTCTTGCCAGTTACTACCTGAAGGGTGATGCAAGCCAATGGTGGAAGTATGCCAAAGGTCGGATAGCACCGACATGGGAGGCTTTTGTAAAGGCTTTCCAAGACAAGTATCTTCCTCCCACGGCTAGGGAGAGGTTGAGGCAGGAGTTCAAGAACCTTAAGCAACTAAACATGTCCGTGGCCGAATTTGAAGCGGCCTTTTCTAGTTTGTCTCGGTTTGCACCGGAATTAGTAGCGACGAAGGAGCGCTGTTGCTTTGAGTTCGAGCAAAGGCTAACGACGAAGATTTTGTTCAAGGTTGCCGAGAATATGATCCGAGAGTATGATCGCCTTGTGGAGGCGGCTGCACATGTAGAGATTATTGTGGAGGCCCAGGAGGAGAGACTTCGGAATTCGAGGTCTAGAGGTCAAGGGTCTCAAGGGGACTTTAGGCCTAACAAGAAGGGTAGGAGCACTTTTTCATCCCAATCCCAGCCACAGCAGTCTAGATCCACTTTCCCCTTACCTAGTGCGGGTTCGGGGAAGAGTGCACCGAATGGGTTTTCTTGCTTCAAATGTGGCCAACCGGGTCACAAGGCCTTTGCATGTCCGCAGAAGGGCGAAGGACAGCAGATGTTGCCACCACCACCTAACAGATCTCAGAGTCAGCCTCAGAGTAGGAGTCAGGGGCCTACTTGCTTCCAGTGTGGTCAGTCGGGGCATATGAAGAGAGCATGCCCGCAGTTGGGAGGCGCATCTGGCGCATCAGGGTCTAGGCAGACACAGAGCCACCAGCAGGCTCACTCAGCACAGGCTTCACGAGTTCATCAGGGAGCCACTTCGGCTCAGTCAGTACAGCAGGCCTACGCTCCGAGAGAGGAGTAGGGGGTTGATCAGAGGCCACAGGGGCGCGTGTATGCTGTCACCGTGCCAGAGCAGTTGCTGGGATCCTCAATTGTGAGAGGTATTTTTATTGTGTATAATTCTCTGGCCAGTGTGTTGATAGATACGGGTGCGTCTCATTCATTCATATCTGCTGTATTCGCATCTACATTGGGGTTAGAAATGGCACAGCTAGCGTCTCCACTTAGAGTAGAGTCACCAGTTGGGGGTACAGTTGACTTAGACCGGGGGTGTCGTGATTGTGAGATAGAGGTTGTCGGGCGTAGACTCCCGTTTGCCTTTGTGTTGCTAGACATGTCCAGTTTTGATATCATTCTAGGCATGGATTGGTTGACTTCGTATCGGGTAGTGATTGATTTTTTTCGTCGGAGGGTCACATTGTGCACCTCGAGTGGAGATTGTTTTTACTTTCTGGGGGACAAGAGTGATAGGGTCCTGTCGCCGGTATTTGATCCTAGCGGTAGAAATGAGCTTAGCGGTCTTCTAGCCACACTCTTAGATAGTGAGAGTGACGGGATTCAAGTTGAGTTGCCAAGGGTAGTTTGTGAATACCCTGACGTGTTTCCCAAGGACCTTACTAGTTTGCCGCCCCACCAAGAGATTGAGTTCACCATCGACTTAGTGCCTGGAATAGCACCGATTTCTATGGCGTTGTATAGATTCGCACCCACAGAGTTGCACGAGTTGAAGATTCAACTCCAGGAGCTTTTAGACAAAGGCTTCATTCACCCTAGTACATCACCTTGGGGAGCGTCAGCTCTCTTTGCAAAGAAGAAGGATGGGTCGTTGCGGTTGTGTATCGATTACCACAAACTGAATCGAGTTACCGTTAAGAACAAATATCCTTTACCCAGAATAGATGACTTGTTTGACCAACTTAAAGGGTCTTGTTGCTTCTCCAAAATAGACTTGAGATCGGGGTACCATCAGTTGAGAGTCCGTGAGGAGGACATCCAGAAAATGGCCTTTCGTATGCGTTATGGCCACTACGAGTTCCTAGTAATGCCCTTTGGTTTGACCAACGCACTAGTTTCTTTTATGGATTTGATGAACCGAATATTTAGGGAGTACTTGGATCGTTTATTGGTCATCTTCGTAGATGACATCCTTATCTATTCGACCTCTGAGGAGGAACATGAGACTCATTTGAGGATTGTGCTTGACTTGCTTAGGGAGCATCAGTTGTATGCCAAATTTGAGAAGTGTGAGTTTTGGCTCACCGAGGTGAAGTTTTTGGGCCACATCGTGTCAAGAGAGGGAGTGACAGTAGATTTCTCGAAGATAGATTCTGTACAAGATTGGGAGCAACCTAAGAATGTCTTTGAGATTCAGAGTTTCTTGGGGTTGGCGAGGTACTATCGTCGATTTGTAAGAGATTTCTCTAGATTAGCCGTGCC